ATGGTCTACCACCACTGCTAATGAAGTGCTTCAGGCAGCTTCTGATAATAGACTTTTAGCCAATCTTGTCCCTTCCCCATCTCCATAAGACCCTCCTCTGTTGTCTTTGTCCAGTGTAAACACTTTCACACAAATCACTAACATGAAAGACCCTCACTTTTCAGGGTCAGTGGACATGTCATTTCATCTGGCCATGCTGCTTGCTGGTCTGAATTCAGACCCTAGGATCAGACCCTTATATTGTGCTAGCTCTGTAAGACCAATAAATTATTTTTTCTTTGTAACTTTTACCTTGTAGTTCTCATTTTTAGTTTGACATTTCACAATTCCATAAATTTCTTTGGTATGCAACAAGAATATATTCTAATAGGATTCTTAAACAGTCAAGGAAATCATAATGGCTAAATAGTTAGCTCTGTTCTAAACTTATTACTGGTCTTCTTCAGGAGTGTACACAAATTATTTTTCCTCCTGAAAGAACAATATCAGAAATTATTAAACAGTTAAAACACATGTAACTCTGGGACCAGCAGTTAGTGCAATGGCTACATTGCTGGACTCCCATGTAGTCGATCACAATTCCAGTCCTGGACTTGGTGGCTTAAACTCACGCTGGGCATGTGTGCGTGTGTGCCCAAGACCCCAAGAGGAGAATGGAGGAGAAGGGATTGTGGCGTGGCCATTCTCTGTGGGGGGTGATTTCTCACTTTCTGTTTCTCTGTCTCTCTCTGTCTTTCTGGTGACTACGTGCGCCCTATAGTGAAAACCTCTCAAAAAAAAAATGTAACTTTTAATGGACAATAGAAAAAGAAAAACTACATAAGCAGACCAATAAAATAAAGCTTAAGTAGCAAATGTACACCGGATTTCCTTTGCCAATTTCTCACCAGAGGTAAATTTAAGCATTCACTAATTGGATCATGATATAGGAAGAAGATCAAATGGGGAGGGCTGGAGATCAATTAGTAATTGATATGGATTGAGCAAACTAGTGTGTATCCAGAAGACTTTTGGAGGATGAAGGTATGTCTCCATTAAATTCAAAATTGGGTTGTAAAAATAAACATACCCCATAAGTACTAAAAATGTTTAAATATTGTTGACTTTGGGTTGTTAGAAAAGTTGCTGAGGAAGGGAGGGAGAAATAAACTTATTTCTTACAATCTTCTTGTAAGTTCTTCTTAACAATTTACCATTTCTCATTCCAATTTTCTTACAATTGCTCTGTCACCACTATAAATATCATGATGTCTCTCTCTCCCGACATTGACTCTTAACATTCCTGTTTTTTTCCTTCCGTGTATATTGCCCACTGACATTACCTCTTAGCCTCAGATCTCATGCCTCCTCCAATTAATATAATAATTTCCAGCATCCTCTCCTGTCAATCATAGAATATGAGAGCCTAAAGGAACTCTACTTAGAATGGAAATGTTTAAAGGCATCTTACCCTCTGCTTCCTTTGCTTATTGTGTTGGTCTTTCATTAAAATCTGTCCATACTTTCCACTATTTACTGAAGACTGTTCAGATTCTTTTGTTAGGACTTTAAGGCTATCTCGGCATGTTTATTTCAAAGTCCAAGCATGTTTTTTCGACCTGCTTTTCTTTCACTGATTAAAAAATATTTTTTGAGCACCTCTGCAATCTGGAGAACTTTGCTGGAGGCTGGCTTGATACAACAGATGAAGGAGCACAGGCTTGCCCTTCTAATAGCCTCTGCTTCTGGGGGAGGGGCTTAGTGATGATGAGGTAGGAGATCAAGTACATGAGTAAACCGCTATAGAGCAGTGGTGACAGAGCTGTCCAGAGAGCACTGGCCTCAAGGGTCCAGCCCTGCTACCTTGCTGAACTCACTTCATTGATGGTAATTAGATTCGTTTCTGTTGCTAAAACATGGCCCTTGTTTATGCTGTTCTCTCTTTTTTCTGTTTTTCTGCATACCCTAAACTTATCTAGTCTTTTCAAGGACTAGATCAGATGCTAAATGACTCATCAAGTTTTCCTCAATCTCTTAGTCTTCAACATTTCTCGTTGGAACCCCCAAGGCATATTCTTATATTTCCTTTCCCATTCTAATCATATCCTCGCTTGTGTATGAGTTTATTATCAATTTATTATTATTATCTTACTACAATCGTCTGTCGTCTAAGAGACGACCATGTTATATATTTATTTATTATCATTTTATTATCTTACTACAACCATCTGCCTTTAAAGAGACTATGTTATATATTTATATATCTCTAAATATATAAACTTAAAAAAGAAAATTTCACAAAATATGTGTTTGATGAATGTTCTCCAGGCTAAAATAGTGTATAATAAATTGCACAACAAACTTAATTGTAAAATAGTACAATAGAGGGACTGCCCACACAAAACAATCCCCACACAATAGTCAAAGTAATACATAAATTACTGCAAAAATTAATGACGGTGGAGAGGAGCTACCACTGAGAGTAGGAGCCTCAGGCTTGAAGGCGTCAGTCAGATTTTCCACAAGAGGGAAAAATTGTTCATTTGCCATCATTAAAGACTAATTTTAGGGTTTGGGGTAACTTAATAAACATATTGTTTATGCGCCATACACTATCAGCCCTGACTTTTGGAAAACACATGAAATTTCCAAGAATTAAAGTTTCCATTAACACGAATGCCAAAATCAGAAGGCTTGACCTGCGGGAGAATGTTTGTCTTTGCTGGCTGGTTTTCCAAAAGCACTCGCTATTTACCCTACAGCCTGTCTGGACTCCATCTCTGGGCGTTATCACTCAGACCGTTTAGACAAGAGAAAGAAGCTGAGACGTTTCAGAAAGCCATCAATTACTGAAGGCCCAATGACCCTCTCAGTGCTAACGTGTCCACGCGGTCATTATTTGGGGCAGAACGTCTTCATTGCAGGAAACTGCTAGTGATTTCTTTTTTTCTCTTTTTTTTTTCTTTGTTATAGAACGTGTGTGTGTGTGTGTGTGTGTGTGTGTGTGTGTGTGTGGTATGTGTGTGTGTAATTCCCTGCACATTGGCTTTGTCTGGTTGAGAAACAGTTTTCTACAGCGGCTTTCTGGAAAGTCCGAAAAGTCCACCTGCATCTCCCTACTAGAAGGAATTGGAAATGACCGTGCGCGCACCGGCGTCAACGTCTCCGAAGACGTATTTTCTGACCTCTCTCTCCAGTGTTATTTCATCTGAAGTAGCCCAGTTAACCATCCAGGTTACAAAATAAAAGGGAAAAAAATCTCTTTACGTCAGTGAACTTAGAAAGTTCTCTCTGAGCAGAGCCTTTTAAAGACTTCAGTGTCACGCAGGCGGCCGGGGGTCGCGGCTACTGGGAGAAGCGCAAGCTCTCCACGTCCCGCCCTCCCGGGCCGCCCCTCCCTCTACCGGCTTTCCCCCCCCCCCCCCCCCCCGCCTCCCCCCTCTCCTCCCCCGTGCACCTCCGGGACAGCGGCGTCCTAGCGTCAAAGCTCTACCCGGGAGGCTGATTTGTGGAGCCTCGGCACCCAGCTCCTCTCCCCGACCCCTCCTCCACCCACTTCTGCGGCCGCGGGAGCTGAGCCGAGCAGGGGGAGGGGAGAGCTACACCCATCCCCCCTCCTCCAGCCCTCTCCGCGTGCAGATGCAATTGCACCTTTTATTATTTTAACTCTTCGCCCTAGGACGAGCAGCCCCGGATCTTTCCATCCGGCACTGGCGGCCCCTGCTCCCGCGCCGGGATGGGAGAGCCGGCCCCCAGCCTGCGGGCCGCCCGCGGGGGCCGGGAGGTCCGGCCGCCGCGCCCGCTGCCCGGAGTCTGTAAGTTTCAGCGCTCCTCCCGGGGCGGGAGGGGAGGCCGCCTGCATCCCCGCACACGATTCACAACGGAGATCACAGCAGCGCTTGACAGTGCTGGATGGATTTTTAGGGGCACCCTTCCTTTAACTCCTCCGCAGCCGGGAAGTTAATTATCCGTGTTTTTCCTGCAACTCGTCTGTTGGATCCCTTCGTTGTAAAGAAGTTTGCCATTTATACTACGAGGAATTCTAGGGGAAAGTTTTCGGTTTTTAACATTTTTTTTCTAAAGGCAATTCATACTTCTTTGAAGCTTAAATTAATTTCCTAATTCTCAATCTCCGTAGCAGATCGTTTATTGTTATTTTGTCAGATTACATTTAACATATTATTTAGACTACGCAAGAGGCCACGGCCTTTTCTTTGCCTACTTCTAAAAATAACGGAGGGAGAATGTCCCCTTTTGCTTTTCATATTGCTGCATCATCTAACTATTTTAATAAGTAGATTGTGTACCCAGCTGGCCTTAATTTGCTCATTGACATCGTGAGCTTGTCCCCTTGCGCAGATCTAGAGACGCGGTTAATCGCGGAGAATTATCTTTGAGCCTGCTGTTTACGGAAAGGCTCCTGGTTTTGTTTAACTAAAGTTATGCCCATATGTGTTCCGAAGGATAAGAAAAGTTGAAACGGTTTTCCGAATTCAGACCAAATCATTTCTCCGAAATGCCAGAACTCAAGCCCAAACTAGATGCGTGTTTGGATGAATAAAATCACACCAGTATTATTGCAGGTCCGCTCGCAGGTATAAACCTATCCTTGAATGAAGAACTACGGAAGTGAGGAGAGGGAGGAGTGTTTTTTTGGAGAAGGGTTTTTAATGGATGCTTCCCTCGTGCAGGAGAACGCGTCTCGAGGGAAGGAGAGGCCAGTCGGAGGCAGGTGGATAAGCTGGCTATGGTGAGACGACGATGTTGGCCAGGAAGAGCATCATCCCGGAGGAGTATGTGTTGGCGCGCATCGCGGCGGAGAACCTGCGCAAGCCGCGCATCCGAGACCGCCTCGCGAAAGCGCGCTTCATCGCCAAGAGCGGAGCCTGCAACCTGGCGCACAAAAACATCCGTGAGCAAGGACGCTTCCTCCAGGACATCTTCACTACCTTGGTGGACCTGAAATGGCGCCACACGCTGGTCATCTTTACCATGTCTTTCCTCTGCAGTTGGCTGCTCTTCGCTATCATGTGGTGGCTGGTGGCCTTTGCCCATGGGGACATCCATGCTTACATGGAGAAGAGTGGGATGGAGAAAAGTGGTCTGGAGACCACTGTGTGTGTGACTAACGTCAGGTAAGAACGCCGTGGGATGAGGCAGGGGTAGAAGGCAGTATGGAAAAAACATCGAAGTGCTCTTCCTCTTGCCACTGTATTATTTTGTTAAAACAAAAGGTTTGTTTAGAACCTTCAGAAACAAACAAAAAAGCGAAATTAAAAAAAAACTGACATATGAAAACTTTTTAAAATGCAACTTTATGGATGAAGAGACTCAGGAAATGTGGAGTTTTAAGCCTTTCGGTAAGCCCTGAAAATTACTTAGTAGTTATTTTAAAAGCTGTTGTAGTTCAAAGGATTTCATAAAGTGGCTTACCAAACACACAGACACACACACACACTCACACACACATTTACTTTTCAATCTGAAGAAGTTGCTGTCCATAATTCACTGTCCACACGTAAATGTCTCTTATCAACAAGAAAAAATATTGTGCTAATGCTCTTAATATTTTTCCAAGGACTTCTCTTTACCCATGACATTCTCAGAAACAAAATGAAAAATGAAAAGGGGGCAGCGTCATTGATGAAAGTCTCCTAAAAATGAAATAAATATAAAACGTTATCAAGATAATCTTAACATAGCTGATTTCTTGCATTGAATTCAGAAATTAAAAGTCATGCTAAAATTCAGAACTAGAGAACACTAATTTTTCATGGAAATTGGCCCGAATTTGTCATAGGAGGGAATTATGTAGAAGTGACTTAATCTTGTAGTCTTCTTTCAACGTTTAAGTAGAATAGGAACAAGACAGTTCTTAGATTACCTAACTTTGGCTTCTTTCTCTTATAAATATTTCAAAGCTAGGGAAAGTGAATTTGATTTCATCCACACGCCTCTCGTACTTTCACATGGCCTAAAATCATTTTGTTGGGGGCAATTTGCATCTTATTCTGTTTTGTTGGAAGATGAAAAGGGATCATTTATATCAATTGCAAAAAAATGTTGACTTCCAAGCAAAACAATAATAATAATCCTGGAGAAATTTCCAGGACATTCTCTGAATAATATTCCAAATTTACATAATGTGCAAAGCAAAGAAACTTGAACAAGCACTGTACTGCCAGGGAACTATGAAGAATGAGACCTTTAATGACCCTGAAATCTTAGGAAACTAGCATACTGGCGAGAGCAGTCACAGACTGGGAACTGTCCCCTCTTCTGAGTAACAGTCACACCAGCATTTCAGGGAGGGATGACACTTTGGTGAGCAGAGACTGCACGCCACAGCGTTCAGCCTAGATTTTGAGGAGAAAAAAATAACAGCTCACTGACTTCATCCATTGCTTTTACTTAAATAGATATTATTTTCCTTTTTCAAATTTGCCACAAATTTTGTCTCAAAAAAAAAGTAAAAAATGTACAGCAGTGCTCCAAATATACAGGAAACAAAATACTGTATTTAAAAGATACCTGAAGACTAAATACCGTATCTGGATTTCTCTTTAAGAAATTTGTTGGCACTGATAATGGTGAATTATGTGCATTACAGAATAGATTCTTCATAAATATGCAGTAGATGCTGTTGAAAATAATAAAAGAAATGATAATAATGATCCTTGAAAATAGGTGACAGATTTTATTCACAAGACAAATATGTTGCTTTTTATTGTGAAAAAGGAAGCCATTAAGCAATTTATTAAATACATATAAAAAGTTATCTCCTTTCAGTTTTTTTTTTTAAGGACTCTTACAGGATCCATGGGCTATTAAAAGGTATTTACTGCTACCTCTAGTTTTTCAAATATGATGCGTTCTGAAGCATATTCATTTCTCTGATACATTCCTAAGTGAACACTGGATTAAAAAATATAATGAGACAACATTGATTTTATCAGTATAACTATTTTAGCGATTTAAAGTTCACTTAAGAAATTATTTGACATCTTCCACGCTTGTTCTATTTTTTACTGATGTACTACTTCAATCTCAATTGATTTAATCATAACAGAGCATTTATAACAAAAGACTTTTTTTACAAGAAATATAGAAACAGAAAAATCATTCTCTCCCAAAGAGAATTTAAATGATAACAAATAATGATTCTCATTCTTTGAATTTTCTTTCCATTTATAAGTTCAATATCTAGCCGTATCGTTAATGTTGGAAGCAACTTTTCTCAATAGATATTCACTGGGATTTCCAAATAATGTTTCTGCATTTTTAATTTAGGCTGACTCACTTTCTCCTTCATGTAGATAACTTTCTAATATGAGTCAGACAATAGACCAACAATATTTCCTCTTTCTCATTGTTATTCAACCTAGGTAATTCTGTAGCAAAATAAAGGAGCAGCTAAACATTTTTATCTCTTGAGAGTGTTTGACACAACAGGTACCTATAAAAGGCTGGGCATTGCGCCAGCAGGAGGCATGGTGCTTAAGGTGCTGAACTCCCACATGACTGACCGTGGTTTGATTTCTGGATCTGGCAGCTTGAAAATCATGCTGGGCACAAGTGTGTCCATGCCTAAAATCCCAGGAGGAGACAGGAGAAGGGATTGTGGCATGACCATCTCCCCCCATGGGGTGATTTCTCACTTTCCCTCTCACTGTCTCAGTCTTGGTGAGCAAACATGCCCTATGACAAAAACCTTAAAAAGAAAAAGAGTTGGGTCTTGTACCATGTATAATGTTTAGAATTAATTCTTTTATAAAATAAAAATAAACAATATATAAAATAAAGCACAGGAACAGTCTCTTCCGCCATTCAAACAAAGCATTTGAAGATATCCAATCCAGATTGTTCTAGAAGTATGGCTGCATTATTAGAACTTGATCGTAACTCTGCCTCTCTTCTAGGTCCATTCTTATTCGTTATCATGTCTTTGGACCACAATGTAGACCAAATATCTTATATATAGCATGTTCAAAAAAGCAATTATTGTAGTTTTCCATGTATCCCTGTAGCAATGAAAGAAAAAAAAGAAGGCAACTTTCACAATCCATTTAAAAGCTAGTCAAAAAAGTCATCTATGTGTACTTGCTTAGCCCTCAGGGTTTTCCTGCCAAAGTGCATTGTGTATATTTCATGCCCACGTGTGTAAACATTTTGCACACTCATCGTGCATGGTATTAGAGATAAATAGTACTTTGACAGACGGCCCATGTATGGCTTGTCTTCTATAGAGTGAGAGAAGTTTGACACTGGATTTGCGGCAAGGAGAGGTTGAACATTGTTTCTATGAAGAAGCTATGTCGGCGTTAGATACATAGCTGAGTGAACAAGTGGATCATAATCAAATGAAGTGCCTCTTGACCAGGCAAGTAAGTCGGAATCACTGGAGAACTTTGCCAACAAGTCTTTCTCAGGTCGACCCTGAACCCACCAAATCAGTATCTATTCACTGATCCAGAGAGGAGATGGACAATCTGAAAAAGCTTCTCCTAGTTCGGACAGTTTCTGGCCCCTTCCCTTTGCCCCTTTCCACAGTCAGAATCGATAGGATCCAAGTTCACATCAATTTTATGATCTTGACACTGTCATTTACTAACTTCTGCCTCAAATTTTTCCATAATATCTTCCATATTCTCTAAATCACTCAGAGAACTAAACGAGATAATCAATAGGAAACACTTTTCTTTCCAAGTGAAAAAAACATTTTTGGGAACGAATCTACTACTTTAGGATGATGAGTTCTGTGTCACTTTTTAACACTGTACTTTTTCTATAAAATACAAAGTACACAGTAAGTATTGGCCAGTACTTTCCACATGATTCAAATCTTTTAAACAAAGGTGTACAACAAATAACAAACAGCTATTCAGTTGAAAGACATACAAAATAAACTCTGGCTTTGTGAAAATAAAGTATTTCAAAAAGTAAACTATGAATAGAAATATTAATATTTAATATAAATATTGGGTCATTGGAATAGTTATGACTTATTTTTCTGTTTCTTCTGAACAAAAACTTGTCCAATGATGCAATATGTATGTTTATTTATTGCCATAATGCTTCCATATAGCGAGGCCCATCACTAGAAAACATTAATAGAATTATATCCCAGAAGTCTAGGGATAGATACCAGCAAAAGAGAGACTAGATTTGTGTTCAGGATTAGGCATTTTAAAGTTAAATTGACTAGATTTTCTGGAACCATGCAATAGCCTTTCGAGGAAAAAAAATTGAAAAAGTTCAGCTTGACATGTTCTTTTATTATTCGGAATTTGACCTGGTGCATTGTTTTTGATCTCATTCCTTACAGGTCATTCACTTCTGCTTTCCTCTTCTCCATTGAGGTTCAAGTGACAATCGGATTTGGAGGGAGAATGATGACAGAGGAGTGCCCTCTGGCCATCACCGTTTTGATTCTCCAGAACATTGTGGGTTTGATCATCAATGCGGTCATGTTAGGCTGCATTTTCATGAAGACAGCTCAGGCCCACAGAAGGGCAGAGACTTTGATTTTCAGCCGCCACGCCGTGATCGCTGTCCGAAATGGCAAGCTGTGCTTTATGTTCCGAGTGGGCGACCTGAGGAAAAGCATGATCATTAGTGCCTCCGTGCGCATCCAGGTGGTCAAGAAAACGACTACCCCTGAGGGGGAAGTGGTGCCTATCCACCAACTGGACATTCCCGTTGATAACCCGATCGAGAGTAATAACATTTTCCTGGTGGCCCCTTTGATCATCTGCCATGTGATCGACAAGCGCAGCCCCCTGTATGATATCTCAGCCACTGACCTCGCCAACCAAGACCTAGAGGTCATAGTGATCCTGGAAGGAGTGGTCGAAACTACTGGCATTACCACGCAAGCACGAACCTCCTACATAGCAGAAGAGATCCAGTGGGGCCACCGCTTTGTGTCTATCGTGACGGAGGAGGAAGGGGTGTATTCTGTGGATTACTCCAAATTTGGCAACACTGTTAAAGTAGCTGCTCCACGGTGTAGTGCCCGGGAGCTGGATGAGAAACCTTCCATCCTTATTCAGACCCTCCAAAAGAGTGAACTGTCCCATCAGAATTCTCTAAGGAAGCGCAATTCCATGAGGAGAAACAATTCCATGAGGAGAAACAACTCTATCCGGAGGAACAACTCTTCCCTCATTGTGCCAAAGGTGCAATTCATGACTCCAGAAGGAAATCAGAACACATCAGAATCATGACAGCAAGACAAGCCCAAGACAGTCTTCTGTCAAGTTGTGATATTTTTTTGTGGGGCACTGCCAGACTGAACCAAAAATGGGACACAATAATTTGTCCTTCTATGTTTTAATGCACTAAATGATATGCGTAGTCAAGCAATAGCACTTTCTGTATTAATAAACTACAACACACCAATTGGAAATTCATGGCTTATACTTGTTTCACCCATGCAGAATTTGTAGTGATAAGCCCTCCTTTCTCTTAGTTTAAAACGTAAGAATTATAGCAATAATAATAATAGACCTTGAAAACAAATTTTGTCTAGGGAATGAGTTGTGCTGAGGTGGTGAGACCATAGATCTCTGTTTTTATTGTAACTCTGGAAATACAAATATTGGGTCATTGGAAAAGTTGTGACATAGGACCAGCAGTTGACGTAATGGCTATGTCACTGGACTCCCATGCAGTCGACCGCGGTTTGAGTCCCAGATCCTGTGGCTTAAACTCATGCCAGGCATGTGTGTGTGCATGCCCAAGATCCCAAAAGGAGAATGGAGAAGGGATTGCTATGTGGCCATCCCCCCTGTGGGGTGATTTCTCACTTTCTGTTGTCTTTCCTTCTGGCAAGTGCACGTGCTGTATAGCAAAAACCTCTCAAAAAAAAAAAAGTTATGACATATATTTTTCTATGTCTTTCTACACAAAAATGCATCATGACTTTTCCAAAGACCCAATAGAATGGGAGGGTAGAAAAACTAACATCATGTTAACACTTTTTGTTTATTCACTCCCTCCTTCTCCATGATACTGCATCTGGTAAGAAGCTGAAGGCAAACACCACTTATGTCTATGATTCTAGAAAGATTCAGTTCATTCAGTTGGTCCTTCACAATGACATCAGAAAGTTTCTGGTCCTCCTTGTGGTAGTCTGTTGAGAACCGGGCAAGCAGTCTTGGAGAAAGGTTAAGTCCCACCTCACTTAGGACTGGGTTCCCAACAATGATAGTCACATCTTTCAGCTTCTCACTTCTCACCAGACTCCACAGTGAAATATTGTATTAAATATTTTATTAAAACATTTTCTTTGTATTCACTGTAGCCTTGTGATTTCTCTTTACAACATCATCCCAAGTTAAAAAAAATCAAGAAAAAATATCTTCAGAGGCATATGGAAGAGATGTCACACGGTGATAACACTTGCCTCTAAGAATCTTCTCTCTCAGACTTGTAGCTCCAAGACAACTACATTTTTTTGTGTTGTTTTGATTTCATTTCAAATTGTACAATGTCTTCTCAGATTTCTTATCTAAGCCTGATATATCACTGAAATCCTCTAAGCATTTTTTCTTTGAATCCCCCACCTCCCATCTTGAAGTACACTTCCTTCCCAGTAATATCTAAAATCAAGCCTGGTGTATGTAGACAGCATTATCTTATTTCCTAGAGTGAGATTTTCTAGCAAAACTCAACTTAATTGTCCTTAGCTCCTGCTTCTTCAGAAAGAAATGGGTAAGTAGAGAGAAATATTAGGTTAATGAGCTGTGTTTAATTTTTTCCTAATATTTTATACAGCTAAACATCAAAAAGCTGAGGTATTGTGTCGCTTCTTACACAGATTTTGGAGTTTGTGTTTTATTTCTTTTGTGAACATTGAAAGAGGCAGGCAATCATGAACACGTTTAAATCCTATTTTAGAGGACTCATGATTCTAACCGGTAAATGGAAATAAAGTTTATCAGGTTATTGAGTTAATCATTCCTGACATGGTTCTTTAAAAAAAAATTATTTTATTTAACTTTTTTAAACTTATTTTAATTTGACCAGAGAAGGACAGAGTGAGAGAGAGAGGGAAAATGAGAAAGCAAGCCACCAGGTTCAGGACTCAAACTGTGGTCAGCCATGTAGGATCCAGCACCCTCAACCACCACACCACCTGCCAGTCCCTATTCCTGACAAGTTCTAACCTCTCCTTTGAACTTCAGACTCATAGCTCAAACAAGTACTTGAAGTCCTACCTGGATATCTCATATGCATTTCAACTTACTGAGCCTAAAACCAAATGCTTCATTCCAACTTCCAAACCTACTCCTCCTTGGTCTTTCTTCTAATCACTTGGTCCAACATCTGGGTGTCATACTTTACATTTTGTTCACACTTTACATTCCATCTATCCATATATAACCTCTTGGTTCTGCCTTTAAAACATACCCAGAGTATGACCAATTCTCCTTATCTACACCTCCCTAGTCCCAGCAGGGCTGCTCATCATCTGGTGTATGTGGATGCAGTGATATCAGTGATTAGGATGTTAAAACATTTCTGTAGAGGTTCCTAAAGAAAAGCTATCTTCATAAGACTTAGTTCAACAGCAACTACAGAGGTAGATATCAGACATCTTAGCAATTCTAGAATTGACAGAGTCCCACCTCCCTGCCCCATGAGCAGAGTAGGCACAGAAGGCAGCTGCCATGCCCGTGATGAGAACAGGCACAGTGGCTGCCCGCTGTGCAGAAGCAGCCCATTTGTGGAGTGACACAGGCCACAGGGCAGATAACGGGATATAGTCAGTGGGACTGATGTGCGGATTTCCAAGTTGGGTGATGCTGAACACTCGGACACTAGAGGCAAAGCTAACTGTGAAGCACAAGCAGTTCTTCACAACACCTGCCAGCTGCAAGCAAATTCCAGATGCCAAGGACCTTATGACCATCGATTTAATGGAGGAAATCAGTGAAAGGGTTTGATGGGCTTCCCTATGTCAAGCTATGGCTCACACAGGGACGTCATTTAGCTAGTAATGACCACATCAAATGAAAAATCACACCAACAATTTCAAGAAACCTACAAAAGTTTCAGAGAGTGTTAAATTTACCCTTTGACCTACTTTTTGCTAACATATATTTTATTGGGTAAGCAATTTCAAGTCTGTATAGTTTAGTTTTAGAAAATAAGGAGACTGCCTCTCTCTGTGTGTCTCTTTTCTCTATGTGTGTGTGCATGTATGTATGTATATGAGTTTGACTTACATATTACATTTAAATATTATTTTATATTTAATATTGAGGTTCTCTGTTCTACCCTATAATAGCAACAATATTCTTTTAAATTATAAATCAGTTTACATTATGTCTCTTCTTAAAATCCTCCTTTAATGTTCCATTTTTCTCAAAATGAAAGCCAAAATCCTTACCAAGTCCCACAAGGCACTGTATATTATTATTATCACCCTACCCCACAATCATTCCCACACTTTACAACACAGATTTTTCTATTTTTTGAAACCAAGAGGTATATACTCCTGCATCATTGTTTGCTGCTTAGTTCAAGGGCCAGCAGGTGGCATGGTGGTTGAGGCACTGGACCTCCCACATGGTCAACCACAGTTCAAGTTCCAGACCTGGAGATTTGCTTGCTTTCTCATTTTCTCTCTCTCTCTCTTTCTGGTGATCATACATGCCATAAAGAAAAATTTTAGAATAATAATAATAAATAAAATTAAATAAAAATAACTACATATAAAAAGATGTTTTCTGATTAAAAATCCTGCTTCCCCACACACAGACATTTCTAATTATCCCTGACCAAATGCTCTGACACAAACGTGTGTCCAGAACTGACAGTGTCTCCGTGGCTTAAGCAATTACTTTACGTCCCAAGAAAGTCTAACTCTTAGAAAAAAAAAAGTCACTTAGCGACATAGGACAGCATTGTTTCTCTCCTCCAGTAGTTAGAATCATTTTGTTGTTGCTGCTGTCTAATGATTTGGCATTCAAGGAGCAAGAAGTTTCCTCTTTGATAATAAATCAATTGTAGATAAAGAAGAAAAAATGAAAAGATATCTGTATCTCCTGGGACTCCCAGCCCAATGCTTGTTATTTTCAGCATGTGGAAGGTAGAGGCAGAACTGAAATTTGTGTCTCCAAGGACTAGTGTGTTAAAGTAACCATAACAAATCTTACAGGCTGTTTAAGAGGAAACCCAAGGGCCATGCTCTTCCCATGATCTTTATGCACAATCTCTTCAACGGTGATGGGAATTTCCCCGCAGACCTCGGGAGGATGTGACTCTAATTACACCCCTTGATAATTTCCTGCACAGATTCAAGTTGAAGTTCACAAAAACTTTCATCAACCTTTTACTTCAGATCAAAATATCACATCGGAGACTAATTGCATATTTGACTATTTACATCTTTATTGATACTCTTTTTCAAGAAGTGTTATAGTTCTCATGAAAATTTTCTTGACTGTACCATACGGCTTCCCTCCTCCTACTCCCATGCTCCCTGGGACAATTTGAGTAAAGCTGTTGCAGTATACAGGGTTTATTTTAATTACTCGAGAAAAAATAATAAGGCCAAATTTCTACAAATTACTGTATCGTTTCAGTGTCTATTGAAAAAATGTAGGAGAAAATAGTTTTCTATAAAATTGAAGTTAAGGATACTTCTCCCTGAAACTGTATCAATTATCAGATTTTTCACTTGCCACTGACTGAAAATCCACAATCTCTCAGGAAGTCAAGGCTCTTTGTGGTTTATTCCTATACACCTTTCCAGTCTCATTTGCTAACCTCACCCCAACACATTACAATGCGCCCTTCAATTTCATTGACTTCTTCACTCATATCCCATCTCCCACACATATCTGTAAGTTGCTGAAATTCTGTGCTTTCTCTACCTATCACAAAGGATTCACTCAAAAGAAGGGATTGAGTGTCTAGACAAATGGCTTCGCAACAAAAGTTGTAAAATTCCAACGTTCATAGACAGGAGGGGTTGGGAAGAGCAGTGGGAGCTGTGATACAGAAACATCACAGGGCTGTGGCGGAAGTGTGGGGCTCTGTCAATAGACAATGACTGACACTGGAAGTAACCGGGGCTCTAGGCTTCCATGGAGGTCATTGGGGCTTTGGGCCTACAGATAACTTGGCCACCATAAATAACACAAAGAAAAAAAGGGGCACCCACATGAGAGTACAGTTTGTCTGTTTGTTTTAATTTGCCAGAGGGGTGCATGTGCTCACCACACAGAAACAAAAAAGAGAGAAGTGAGAAAGCACCCCCACTCATAGGGCTGGTTATATTGCAATCTCTTCTCTTCCATTGCTCTCTCCTTTGGGATTTGGGACACACATGCACATGCACCTGGCACATTTTTTAAGCTACTTGGTCTAGGATTCAAATTGCACAGTCAGCCATGGAAGATCCAGCCACCTTACCCACCACCACACAATTGGCTGGCCTAAAACTAGCATTTAAGTTGTTCAATGGCCTTTGAAGTTTCTTAACATTTGGTGACAATTAATCATCTTTAAATGACTGATGTTGATCTACTTTTTAAAAAAGAATTATTTTTATTTAACTTTATTTATTTATTTATTTCAATTTGACCAGAGAGGGACAGAGTGAGAGAGAGAGAGAGAAAGTGAGAAAGCAAGCTTCCAGGTCTGAGACTCGA